CATGAAAAGGTATTGCCAGGGACTGCCATCAAAAAAAATAGAGGCATATTGATGCTTATGTACAAGTTCCTTTTCTCTGGTTTAGAAAGAAGATGCCACAAAATTCTGTGTCAAAAAAGATGCTTCTTGTTTAACTTATTAATTAAGTGTATTCTCTTTTGGAAACACAATGGGAAATTTTAGACATTTCAGGGCAAGAAGACAGGGACATGTAGCTTTGTATGACAGATGAAAGAAAAACTAGTGCTCTATTTGTCACTATTAAAGGAGAACAATGAGGCAGCTGGGATAACTATTTTTGCTATTTGCTGTTCTGTCCTTCCATACAGAAAGGAAATTAACAGTATTTCTGAACTGGACATAAAGCCATCTTGCATATTTAAAAATCTAGACCTCGTATGTAACCTTTTTAAGTTCAAGAACAGAGTTACATTGAGAATGAAAGTTTATACTTCTCCAGTGCTGTGTCAGATTGAGACGAAGCACTGTCCTCAGATGTGATGGGAGCACTCTCAGGGCTCTCACCTGTGGTTCTTTTGATACTTATTCTATCCTTTCCTTACTCCATCACGTGTCCACACTAAGTCACTTTTGGAATGATGCATCCAAGCCTTTTGTGCAGATTTAGTGAGCTAAATGTAGTGTATTACCTTTTGTTCTCAGTCTTCTGAATTCTGTGATGTATTGAGTTGTTGGAGACTTAATTAAAAGTCCCAGGTTCCCTGCTTAATCTCTTAAAAGAGAGAGAGAGTGCAAAAGAGTTTCTGATTTAAGAATAGCAAATGAAATCAGTATTTCAGATGCTGCTGGGCCATTAAGAAATACAGGAACAAACTTTATCAGTTGTAAACTGTAGTTACAGCCTGCAAAATGATGTTATAATTAGAAGTTTCTTTTCCATGGAAAACAGTGCTTTTGTATCTTTCCCATTTACTCAGTTATGATGTTGAATGTGTTTGCTGGCCCAGTAATAATTATTTCATTAAAAATAAATTCTCTTCTAGTTAAGGTGAATACCAAAGGAAGCTATTTTACTTCAACAGATTTACCTAGGAAACTCTTTATGAAATTATTGGATCTTCCAGGAAACTCAAAGCAAGTCTTAATTTCTTTTCCTATAAACATCAGGCACACATTTATTTAGTGAAGTTCAGATACCTGCTGTGGCTGGTACTGAAGTGGGGCAAATTACACCTTGGTTCACTGCACACTTATTTCTAATTTCAGGAAACAAATGGGACACAATATACAGCGGAGCTGCTAGGGAACATGTGTGTGACCGGCTAAATCCTGGCTCTTCCTATCGGTTACGCGTATATTGCGTTGGAGAAGGAGGACAAAGCACGGTAATAGGAGCTAATGTTTTTATTAAATAAAATTTCTCTCTCTTTAAGAAAATCTGGTCCAGTAGATAGATTTAAGCAAATATTGTGCAGAAGTGTCTAACAAAATAGCCATAATTAGAACCTCAAAGAAGTTCCAGTACTGATGCCCAGTATTTCAAATTTCTGCTCATTTCTTAAAGAAATAAAGGTGAATATTCTTTTCTGATACTGTATTTGGTTTAACATGATTTTTCGTATTTACAGAAATATACTATGTCTTTTCCTCTGTGATACATTAATAGAATGTCATTTATTAAGGCCTAACCCAATGTAGCAGTGTAAGCAGGGCACTGGAACAGGCTGCCCAGGGAAGTGGTCACAGTACCAATTATGACAGAGTTCAGGAAGCATTTGGACAATGCTCTCTCACATGGTGTGGATCTTGGGGTTGTCCTGTGCAGGGCCAAGAGTTGGCCTTCAATGATCCTTGTGTATCCCGTCCAGCTCAGGAGATTTTGTGATTCTGTGAATTTAATGTTTTCCCTGTGGTCAGTGGAGTACCTAGTCTGAGTAGCCAAGTCAGCCCAGCAAGCAAGGGACGAAGTCTCCACTTAGGCTTTACAGGGTTGTGCCCTGTAGTCTCTTCCCATGCTATCTCAAGCACAATTAAAATATTTACATTGCCCTAGTTTAAATATTCCCAAACAATTTGCTGTGCCATACTATGCACATTACATACACACACACTTGCACTGTCACTTCTGTGGTGAAGTTCAGCTGCCAGTGCCAAAATGTTGTGCTGTATTCCTCTCCCTTCTCAGCACCAAGTGTAAGAAGCCAGCCCTGGCTTTCTACAGTCTTCCAGCAGAACTTCACTGTCCAGCCAGTCTCCTGAAAATCTTAAAGCCTTCCATTCTTAGTGTTGGCCATTTCTATCCGGCCCTCCCCCCTTACTATATGAAATGTATGTGTTCTTCCTCCACCTTAGAAGTCTCCTGCAAAGATAACCTTGGCCACAGCCACCTTGTCATAAGAATAAATCTGGTCTCCTTCAATGCTGGCTCACCGTAGCTCAGGGGGCAGAGGAAGGCTGTTACCAAACCACAAGTGCATGTGTTGTGTCTTTGGCGACTTTTACTCTGCCAGCCTACTTCCCCACAGCCCAACTCTATTACTTGAATAAACATTAAGAACCAAAGAGAAAATAACTTTCAGAAAGTCCTGATACTTTCTGAAGGTGTCAGAAATCAACAGAAGAAAGTAAAGAAAGATGTAATTAACTCCTCTACCGCTTGTCATGGACATATGCCTCCTGAGAAACGTTCTGTTTTTTAAGTAGCATCAGTTGTTCAGTGCAACAATACATTTCAAAGGAATTGAAAACCAACAGAACTTCCAATCCACTCATTCTTGAACATAGGCAGAAAGCAGTTGTGAAAAGGGGCTCTGAGATGCATTTCTTTTGTAAACTTAAAGACTTACCAGCTTTGTTCTGTATCACACTGCAACCAGTAACCCCTCATCGTCTCTGCCCGTTTCTGTCTGCATTCAGAATATCCAATGCCATCTGCTGTATGTTGTTATGCTATGCATTTTTGCCCAAATTTCAAATCAGAGGAAGAAGCTTGTTGCACATTAAGTATTACTAAGCAATGAGAAAAGTGACATCTCAATTTTTTTTAAATCTCTTCTGATTGAATTTTCTGCCCACTTTTGCTTTCTGAGAGGTTCTTGTACAGAAAGTATGCAACCCTTAGAGTAAGGGTTTAGAGCTCATTAAACTGGAGTTTATGGAAAAGAGAATGAGTTTACATTGAACAAGTCAAGCATCTATACTAGGTTTGTACTGATAATTAATCACTGTTTTCAATTCTACCCCTTGCATGTGTGCCAAAACACAAAAGCAGAAGCTAATTTTGCATATTGCGTAATTAGTGTAGCATGTTTTATTTAACTATTATGAAAAATACACCAGATCATTTAAGCATCTTCACGTATTTGAAGATGTGCTTCAGAAAAGGGAAGATCCTGTTTCTGGGTCAGTATTTGCCTTTACTTGTGGCATAATTGATAGTGCTTGTTTTAGCCTAGATGGCTTTATTAATCTGTCTTTCCTTTGTAGGCATCTGATTCTTTACTGGTCCAGACACCAGCAGTGGTTCCTGGTCCATGCCAGCCTCCGAGGCTACAGGGTAGACCAAGAGCAAGAGAAATTCAGCTGCGCTGGGGTAATTCTATTACAACTGTTCGTGATTGTAAGGGATCCAAATGTATAAAGTGTTAAAATTAAATAAGTTTTTCTTTTTTCCTTATTTTTAGGACCACCCCAGGTAGACGGTGGTTCACCTATTACCTGTTATGGTCTGGAAATGTTTCAGACAGAAACTGATGAACACAGAGAGGTTTACCAAGGCTCTGATGTTGAATGCACAGTCGGCAACCTTCTTCCAGGGAGGATATACAACTTCAGACTGCGAGCAGCTAACAAGGCTGGGGTAAGGAGGCAGTCTGAAATGAAATTAGTTCCAGGGACTGCAATCACTATTAAGGATCTTTCCTTTCAAAAGAAGCATTTAACAGTAATTTTAAAATCAGATTTCCTAATGTAGAGTTATTTGAGTCACATAGCTTATTGTTGTGTGGGAACAGACAGTTACACATCAGTTTATAATGAAGGGGATTTTTAGATGAAGGGAAGAGAAAATAGATAATTATGTCTCTTATCTGAATAACAGCACTGGGAAATTATTAGGAAATGCTAAGTACTTTATTAAAGCACTGTTATAACTTTATAGTGTTCTCATGTGAAATCAGGTAACAAATTATTTTCTATATACAGCTTTGTAAATTGATTGACCTTCATTTTTACAGCTGTTGGTATTCTAGAACACAATAGTGTTTCCTGACTCTCTCAATTTTTATATTTAGTTTAGCTTCTGAGTACATGTTCTGTCAGATACAAGACTGTTCTCCCTCTTTGGAATACTAAATGTGTTTAAATCAATAGTTGCTATAGAACAAGCTTTATTTAATTATGTACCCAAAGTCCCAATTTAAAGGCAGAGAGGCAGGGCTGCTTACATTGATCAATAATGTTCTCTTCATAAAAAACTATCAGGACAAGTTGATACTGTTTGTGGAGAGGTCTGGAGCTTAAAGCTTTAAAGCATTGTCCTGACTTTTATCCTTCCCCCCACAAGAATGGTCTATAGTTTTTGAATCTTTTATTTCTTTTAGATAGATATAAAAAGGCAGTTACAAGTTGTTTAATATCCTAGTGCAGCCATCATGTAACTTCAAAATAAGGCTTTGGATAGCACTTCCCTGTTTTGCCCAAGAGTTTGAAGTGCCAAAGTTATTCACATTGCATTTGCTGTAGTGAAGAAGAATCTTGCAGCTTTTCTGGAGAATAGTCGCATACTGAAATAAATCCTGAATCCACAGAAATATATTTTATAAACACGTAATACCAAGTTTCAGGCTGTTGTTATACGTCCCTACTATGGTAAACTGTTATTTAAAAAGTAGTAATTTTGTTTTTACAATGTACTTGTATCAACTGTCTTCTTAATAGTTTGGACCTTACTCAGAAAAATGTGAAATAACTACAGCACCTGGACCACCAGATCAGTGCAAGCCCCCTCAAGTGGCATGCAGGTCTGCTGCATGTGCTCAGGTGTCGTGGGAGGTAAGAATGCCATGTTACATCTATTCTATCAGGATTGCCTTCTACATTTTTGAGCTCAGCTTTAAAAGCTTAATACTGTATTGTAATCCTGTTTGTAAGCACGGGATTACCTTATTATCCAACACTTGATAGGTAAAACTTTAGTCATTCATCATACCATTCCACGGCAGCTGTAAGTTGGTAGCCTGCAGGTACTTGAGATCTTATTGTGTTCTTTTGTTTAAGAGTTTTGCCACAACTGCTGCTCTGCATTTCTGAGTGATGCAGTCTCTTCTTAAAATTTTTCTTTAATGTAGTTATATTTCCTCAGAGAGAATCTATCCACGTAATACAATAGATGATTGTGCATTTGTTGGTTTTATAACCTGATTTAATTTTATATAATTACATCAGTAATAATGTAGCAAAAGCCTCACAGACTTCCTATAAACCCATAGTATTTAGATGTCTGATTAAAAAAATGCAATAGATAAAAATTAAGCTTGTAAAAAGAAAGATTCTATCTGGGAATATTGTTTAAACACAACTTTTCAGCAGCTTGAGATGGAGTGAAATATCTGAGTTACAGAATTGTACAGAAAAAAAAAGATTAAACTATTTTACATGGAAGGTAGTGTTCATGCTTCCTACTGCGTATGTCAGAGGAGCACTCCTTAAATATCTACAAGGCAAAGCCTTTTGAAAAACACCTCTTACAACATTCAGGTAGGATTAATTTGAGTGATGTTAAATGTCTACTTTATAGAATCACACAGTAATTAAAGTACAAGTAGACCTCCAGATGTTATTTAGTTCAACCTCCTGTTCAAATTGGAGGTAACTTCAGATTTAGGTCAAGTTTCTCAGGGCCTTGCCCAGTGAAGTTTTATTTATCTCCAAGGATGAAGATGTTGCAGCCTGGTAGAGCTGTCTGGGTAAACTCTTGTGCTGTAGGATTTTGTTTATGTCTTTAATGCCCTTTAATGCAAGTCACAACTCTTTTCTTGTCACTGTGCCACCTTCAAGAAAAATTTGTCATCATCTCTGTACCCTCCCGATAAGTAATTTAAAGGCAGCAGTAGGATCTCCCCTCAGCCTTATCATCTTGCTATCAAATAAGCAACACACAACTTTTTTGTTGTGTGTTGCACTCCCCCTTCGTGGCCCTTCACTGGACTTTTAGTCCCTTCCATCAATGTCCATCTCCTTTTGGGGAACTCAAGACAGGACATGGTTCTGGAGATGAAGCCTCACAAGTGTTGAGTAGGGGAGCATCATTACCCCTTTTAGTCTTCTTGCTTCTCATGTGCTAATACAGCCAGTATGTAGTTCGTCTTTATCAAATACACACCTTCTTTTTTGGTAAGGTTGCTCCTCAATCTGTACTCTTTTACCCCAGCTTCAGGACTTTGCGCTTGCCACTGTTTTCATGGAACTTCTTGAAATTTGTATCAGATTCCAATTGTGGAAATTACTCTGGTAGCCATACCCCTCAGCCTATCAAATGCCTCCCCCAATTTTTTGTCATCCCTGCACTTGTTGGCTTGGATTCCCTTACTTTTGTTAAGGTGAACTCCATTGCATCTACAGCAGCAACAGCAGTAACACTGAGAAAGTATTGCATCTTCCCTGACTGTGGGAGAGCCATCCACAGCTGCATTAGTCCTCTCACCAAACACATCTCATTGTAAAGGAGAGAAGGGAAGGGGGTCCTTTTTAGTCACAAATCAAGAACATCAAATGTTTTTCTTTGAAATGCTGTTTGTTTTCAGTCGCTTAACTTCATTATGACCTAATGCTGAAAGTAGCTAATACTTCTATTTCAAAAGAAGTTAAAGGAAAAACATGTTTTGGAGCAATTATCTGCACCCTGGTGTGATTGCTGTCTTGGAATATTTACTACAAAAGCATGTCAGCATTTTTCTTCTGTTTTCTTCACAATCTAAGAAATTGGTTTGCTTTTTGGTTGACTTTTTCTTTATTACTTCATTGACTGCTGATACCTTTCTGTAGTGTCATGTCTTAGTCTGGCACTGGAACACATGATTTTAGCTGTACTTCAAATTGTTATTTCTAAGGGGTATTAAAATCATACAACTCCCAAAATTGGGAGGCTAAATTTGGATTCCTAGGGCAGGTAGTGAGGAAAAACAGGCTACTTGAGCAGGCATTTCAGTCCAGCTCTGTCTTGTTACTTACATCTCTCCCATTTGCTTCACAACTCTATCTTAGGAGAAGATGGAGTGCACAGTTTTCTGCTTCCCACTGTGCTCACAACCTAGTTTCCATGCATAAGAGCCATGATGTGCTCCAAAGGAGGAGTCCTTTAATCTGTAAGATAAAGACACGGTCACCAGTGTGCATTTGCATATTGTGATCCCTGCACTAGAGACCCAGCCAGGGCAAACTCTCATACCCTCTCAGGAGGACCATCTCTTACCATTGACTATTGAGGCTCCAAAGCCAAATGCCATATGCTAAATGGTATCTGTATTTAAGCAACTGAAAACACAATTACTTTGTAAAGAGTAGTCTCTGCAACAATAAATAGCGGTTTTGAAGTATAGGTGATCCAAGGCCAGTATTGTATTCTGATTTATTTGTATTGTACTGATTCAAAAATCAGCAAAGAAATGGGAGTGTAACATTCCTCTGAAAAAAAACAGATGTGGTGAGTTTGGTTGACTTTTGGAGGTTTTGGGGTTTTTTTTAAATTTAAATTTAAATTTTTATTTTAATTTAAACTTCTAACTATTTATATCCATTTTAAAGGTTCCAGTAAGTAATGGAGCTGATGTCACGGAGTATCGACTGGAGTGGGGTGGCGTGGAAGGATGCATGCAGATCTCCTATTGTGGGCCTGGGCTCAACTGTGAAGTGAAAGGCCTTTTGCCTGCCACTATATACTATTGTAGGGTTCAGGTAAAGATGTAAAATTATTGTTAGTTAAATCAGAAAAGAGGAATTGACCCTGCCATTAAAACATGGTCTACTTTGGATTTACAGGCAGTGAATGTTGCAGGTGCAGGCCCTTTCAGTGAAGTAGTGGCATGTATGACTCCAGCCTCTGTACCTGCAGTTGTGACCTGTCTTCGTGGACTAAGTGAAGATGAAGTTGAAAGTCCACACTATTCTCCTTCCACATGCCTTGCTATAAGTTGGGAAGAACCTTGTGACCATGGATCTGAAATCCTTGGCTACAGCATAGACTTTGGAGATAAGCAGCCAATTACTGTTGGGAAGGATCTGACCTATTTTATAGATGGCTTACAGCCAGATACTACCTACAGGTATGCCATGCACAGCTACTTGACAGCCTACTGTTTCTTCCATAAGAGCAGATGCATTGTTTGTTTGTTTTCCTTTTACTTTTTTATTGCCTGCATTATTACTCTGAGACAACCATTAGTACTGCATAGCCATGGAGCAAAACGAAGCTTTGTAATGGTGATCATCATAAATAGATGAACTGTGCTACTTTTATTTTCTTTCAAGAATGATTTATTTTAGTTTGTTTATTGTAGTAGTGTTGTATCTGTCTGGCTAACGTGTGAGGTTAACTGAATTCACATAAGGTATTCAGATTGATAACTGTTTTTTGGACCAGTTGCTTCATAGATGGCCTCTAGGGTGTTTGACAAGATAAAATCAATCCAAGGAAAGACCTTGTCCAGTCTGATTGGTCCCACAGAGGTCAGAATTTAAGCCCACTCTGATTTCAGTGTAGTTAGGATATCATCTGGCTGTGCAGTTTTCTGAATCCTTAATTACTTTTTTAATGCTTTACATAAGACCACAATGTTTCTGTGTGTCTTATAATTATTTAACAATAATGCTGGCAATCTGAAGAACTGTTGCTCTCTGCATCAATAGACTGAAAAAAGAGAAGCTTCTATTGTAGTACTTCTGTACTTCTACCCACAGAAGTGTGGGGTTTTTTTAGAATACACTGTCAACTCTGTGCAAATGAAAAATTACATATATTAATCTTAGTTCTGGGCTGTAATAAATTAGCATAATGTTAAATATTACTGTAGCAAAGGAGAAATATTTATTCTTGAGCCTGCACACACATTTGCGTTTCCACATTTTGCAGCTGTGTGGTTGATTGTTTCGGAATTTAATTATTGTGATTATTTTTTTTCAGTTACCTAGACACTATTTTGGACAAGCAAATGTTAGTCTGCAAAATGAAATTAGACACACTTTGTTCTCTATGGGTACCTGTGAAATATGTTTTCTGTTGTATAAGTTTTCTGTTGTATAAGTCTTTTAATTTTTACTTGTAAACCAAATGCCAGCATTGTTTTCCATGGTGTATTAAAAAAACAAAAAAAAAAACCAAACAAAAAAAAAACTTATCCCTGAATATCAAGTTTTACAAACCCCCCAGCTATGTGTCCTTTGACTTCATTTGGTTTTGCCCTCTCACTTTCCAGGTAGATCCAAAATGGCTTGTTTGCAGGTGCCCAGAGATGTGTTAATGGTGGAAACAGCAAGACAGCTGGCTGGGCATTATCACTTTATTTTCACATGAATAGGATCTGTTCCAGAAAGTCCACAAAAATTTCTGTTAGTCATCCTTGAACTTACCTGATGTAACACTCAAAGATATGATTTCCCCTCTTTGGGGATGGGTTTTTTACCTTCCCTCATCTCTCCAATGTGATATCAGAAACTTTGGTAGAAGGACTGCAGGGTCAGGAAGATGGACCACTCTTGAAGTAGCTGATAGAGCTTTTGCATTTTTTTCAGTAACATGAATTTATCTGAATATTTTTAATCAATCCAACTCCTTAAAATGTGGTAAGGAAAGTGATGCTCTGCATATTCATGACAGTCTATCAAAGCATATTCTCTCTTTATTGTGAATTATGGAAATGACCAGGTTTTTTTTTAGAATCTAATTTCCAATTAATTTATTCTCTCTTTTTCCAAATATTAGAGTACGAATTCAAGCCCTAAACAGTCTTGGAGCAGGTCCTTTCAGCCACACCATAAAGCTGAAAACAAAGCCTCTCCCACCGGATCCACCTCGCCTGGAATGTGCTGCATACAGTTCTCAGACTCTCAAGCTGAAGTGGGGAGAGGGAACTACAAAAGTATTAACTGACTCCATTCAGTACCACCTTCAAATGGAGGATAAGAACGGAAGGTTGGTTTTGGCATCGCTTTAATCTGCCCTGTATCGCTGTGGTCTGATGCTTGGGAGATGGCAGCAAAGGGCAGAATTCCATATGCTTTGCTGAATTTCCAACAGACATAGGAGGTCGTCTCATCTGGCAAGGCAAGAAGGGCTCTGTACTGGGAAGGACAATATTAAAAACTTCATTGTTTTTTATTTACAGTTACCCATGAAGATTTCAATGCAATGTTTCGTACCAGCACACTTTCTCTCTCACCTTTGGTTAAATACTTTGTCAAAGTAGCAAGTCCAATCAGTGTTGTGGATTTTATATACTTAATATTGGAAGGGGTGAAATCTTTAGTCTCTGCTGCCTTGTATGCAATTATTTTAGTGGAAAATAGTACAGATTATTATTTAAGGGATCCCTTGTCTCATGTTAAATGAGATGGTACAGCAAGTACCCTTGCTTAAATGGTAAAGTACTGCTACACTGTGTACCACGTTTGAGTCTCTTGAGTAGCTTTAGCTTGACAGTGAAACAAAATAGATCTACTAGGTGAAATTGCTGTGCTGTAAGAAAAAAATAGACTCTTACCTGGAAAGAAATTCATTGCCATTACTAAAGACTAGGTCATGTGCAGGCACCATCTGTTTTAAATTTAAAAGAAAAGAAAAAGTCTAAAGAGATGACAACCCCTGCAGGAAGAGATAAATTTGTGCTGTGTCCTGGGGATACCAAAACTGAAAATAAAACAGGAGCTGCCAAGATCAGTTTGTGCAAGAATTACAACAGGAGAATGGCCAGTGTACAGAACTCTCAGAAAGGGACTTGGTGTGTGGTACAAGTGTGACTCTGGCCTCCTGTGCAAGTCTGGGTGGGCCCAGCTCCAGCAATGATGTACAAGAGCAGTTGGATCCATGGCACTTTTTTCAGGTATTGGAATTTTTAGGTGGGAGAGTTAAAAAGGAGCAAAAAGCTAAAATCTAGTTACCTAATTTTAAAAAGCTAAAGATGTTGGAGGAGTAGATGACCAAGAAAAAAACAATATATGCAGCTCATTGGTGAGACACAACTGCTGTCCTTTGCCATTGTTTCAAGTGCAGAACAGTTTCTTAAAATGGACCCTTTTTGGTAAGAGAGAATCTGTAGTATTCTTCATGCACGAGATTTTTATTTCAAAGACAGGAAAAATAAAAGCTTGGCCCTGGAAAATGAGCTTATTGTTTTATAGTAGCCAGAACCCTATTTAACTCTGAAATAAACATTTCTGGGCTTTTCATTAGATTCTGGGAAATTATGGGAACAGATTTCAATATAATACAGTAGCTACTTCAGAAGTCCTTTTCTATGTTCAAAATAAGCTACTCATTCCATTTTCAGGTTTGTATCCTTATACAGAGGACCATGTCATACATATAAAGTTCAAAGGCTCAGTGAGTCTACATCATACAAATTTTGTATTCAGGCATGTAATGAAGCTGGTGAAGGTCCCCTTTCTCAACAATATGTTTTCACTACTCCCAAATCCGTTCCAGCTGCCTTGAAAGGTAAAGGTTCTTCTTTTTTTTCATTTGGGGGGCTGGGAGGATAGCTAGTTGATTTTGGTATTATGTTGTATTTGGGGTACTGAGAATGCTAAGCCCTTTTCTGAGCACAGGTAGGGATAGTGGGTGAATGCTCCTTTCATGTAATTGCCTAAAATATTCACTCCAAAAATTAAAGACTCAGGGTTTATGCATTCTTTGACATAAGAAGGTTTGTACTTAGAATCCCTTGCTTACTACGAGAGAGAGACTAGGCTGTTACAGCAAGTTGAGGTGAAAATGCTTCCTTGCATGTTTAGAATAATTTTAAGCGTTGCAGCTTTCTTTTTTTTTTTTTTTTTACATGATGCACACTTATGGTCACCAAATTTCCCTTGCTTTCTCTTGAATGATAACTGAACTAGCAGTAGAGACCTATGTGAATTGTTAGTTGTTGCTCCAGAAAACTCTGGAGGAAGAATAGATTTGACTCTGAATCTTGTGTTTCTCTGAGACAAAATAGCAGGTAGAATATAGAATTTTATGGGTCACTAGAATATAACATTACACAATGATGAAAGCAGAGCTAGCTGTCACCTTTGTGCTTACTTCCTTCAGCACCAAGGATAGAGAGAATAAATGATCACACTTGTGAAATCACATGGGAGGTTCTGCAGCCCATGAAGGGTGATCCAGTTATCTACTGTCTTCAGGTCATGGTGGGAAAAGACTCGGAATTCAAACAGGTATGATGTGTTTAAGTTATTGTATTTTTCTTCAATTACTATTTGTGATAACAAGTTCAGTAAAATTAGTTTACTAAAGATTGTGTTCCAGTACATTTTTAGTCACCATGCTAAATTTCTGTTACTAAATAATATAAGGTAGTATCTCTTAAAGCCATCATGACATGGAAAGGAGATTTAAGTAATACAAATTCTGCAGTAAGTTGCAGCCTCTCTGGGTTACACTGATGTTTACAACTTGACATCTCAAGTGGTGAGGAAGTCATCCATTAATGGGAACAACTGACAAAAAGAAACCTTTCACCCAATGGTACACAATTGAGACTGAGGAGAAAAGGAGCAAAGGGTTCTCTTTTCACTAAGACCTGTTTGAAGGCAGTAAACAATATTATAAAAGTGTTAATTTTGTTCAAGTCATACTTTTTTGCAGAGAACTGCAGAGGAAAGTCCCCTACTTAGGCAATACAGACATTCAGTTGTAGGAATTTTTTAATGTAATTCAGTGGTTAGGTTTTCACCATAGGACCATTTCAGCAGCAAGGCATGCTGTAACTACAAAGGTTGAGCTTTTTCCTACCATTTCCCTGCCAAAATTTCAGTCTCCTCTCCTTCTTCTCCTTGATGCATTGTCCAGATTGTTCATGTCACGGCTTCTTCCATGCTAGAGTCAAAAGAAGTTAGTAATCTGCTGTATGAGCTATATACATCAGTCTAAGCTCTTAAAGACATTAGGAAGCAACCATATAAATACCCCAGCAAATACATTTGAGGGAAAAGCAACTTTTGGCAAGGCACTGAGGACAAGCAGCTGAGGGCAGTAACCCTGCCAGCTGGCATAGCAGTAGCTGGAGTAGGATGTGTGTCAGTGGCCTGTTTGCTCACTACCAAACACATGATCCAAATTAGCAGAATTTTGAGGAAGCTGCACTTCCGATGACCCGCCTCAGAAAGAAAAGTCTAAAGGTTGTAGATTCCAGTAAAGGACAGCAAGAGCTCTTCAAACAGCAGAATTGGAAGGGATTTCCTCCTTCTTTCATTGAATGGTCAGTGGTTTACATATGTAAAATACTATCTAACAGTATGGTAACTGTAGGGAAAGGTCTTGCATGATGTGATATTTCTGTATCCTGTTACCAGGTAAATAAAGGAAATCCAGATATTGGGAGGTAGGAGGGTGAGGGGTTTTAAGAGAGAAATCAAATTGTACTGTGCTACCCACATAATGGCTCAGTACCTATTGATGTACCTGTAACTGTGCCTACATGAGTTGTTATTGGCTTTCACAGGACCTTTATGTAGCTGCAGATTTATTTAATTTGAGAAACCAGCATTTAGATTTCACTGAATTAGGCACTCCATGCTGAAGAGTTGTAAACTCATGTTAACCAGCCAACTGAGACACCTTTGGAGAACACCCTCATATCTGTCTTGGGAATATGATGAAACTAAGAATCACTGAGAGGATTCCTTGCAGCTTTCCTGATACAGTGCTTATTGGGATAAAATATAATATTTTAAATACACGATAACTTAACTACAACAAACTATGTTGCATTGTATTAGGCTTATTGAATTAGGTTTATACAGAGTTAACTGCCTAAAATCACATGATAACGATATTGTATATTACATCTAATTATAAGGGGTCACTAAAACACCTTAACACTGGGGTTTCTGACAGAGTTTATTTGGTGTGTACTCATCATTCCATAAAAGCAAATGTAGTTCTTGGGTTTCACTAAAAGGACTGGAGAGTTTATCTGGCATTTAAATTGCATATTTGAGCTTCTTGCACGGGTGAAAACACTGGTGAGTTGTCATCAGCCATACTGAGATACATATGTATATAGGACTTGATGTATCTTCTTTGGTTTTCCTTCACTGCCAGATCTACAAGGGTCCAGACTGGTCATTCCGATACACAGGCCTTCAGCTGAACTGTGAATACCGTTTCCGCGCATGTGCCATTCGACAGTGCCAAGAGACCACAGGTCACCAGGACCTGGTAGGCCCCTACAGCGCACCAGTGCTATTCATCTCTCAGAGGACTGAACCACTGGCAAGCACCAACAAGGACACTGTGCAAACCACAAGGACACAATGGTCACAGAGTGACCAAGTGTGTGCTGCTGTCATCCTTGCACTTTTTGCTATCTTTTCCATTCTGATTGCTGTTATCATTCAGTACTTCGTCATAAAGTGAAGAAAAGAGATCTATTTTATAATGCTGCCCATTACATTTTACTTTCTCATAATCTAAAAGTAATTCTGTTCTCTTGCTTTTACAAAAACAGGCATTTAGCACCGGCATTGAGACTGATGCAAACTTTTCAGCCACTTTAAAACACTTAGTCATAGGTATAGGCTGACACATTATTAAAATGCAAGCCACAGAAATATAATCTTTTCTTTATATGCCTTCTTGCAGTACAAACTCGATATGGGGCAGGCACACAGTGTTTAATGAAAAGGGTTTGACCATTAAACACGAGTGTAAAGATGATTTCCTGGCCCACACTTCTAAGGGTTGCTACCATAACAGGGAAGAATGTGTAAATCGCATTTAAAACTTACACTAACAAACTTGTGCTGTATACAATATTAATCTGATGCTGTGAAAGCAATTTAGCGCTGTATTTCTACCTCCTCATTTGTCTTAATTATTTGGGAAGCAGGATTTATGCTGAAAAACAGAAGGGGCTTTTCTCAGGCAGCAAATAATAAATTCGATGGAAGAGCATGCATGAAGGAAGCTTCTTACCTGATAAATGTGGAGTTCTTCACTGCGAGTAGATGTTTTCGAAAGACTACAAGGAGATGGCACAAGTGGTTTATCTTACCCCCAGGATTTGATGTTTACTTACAAAAATGCCTCTCTTACTTCTGAATATAGAAGGGAGGGTGTGAGAGAACTTCTTAGACTTATTATTTAAATTGCAGAACACATTTCTGAAGCTGACCTTTGACTGGATGCAGTTTATACCGATGTCTGTACCCTCTGATTTTGGCTACTTAATAGATTTTTGAGATAAAATTCATTATTGAATTTTTGCTGTTTCCCCAACATTCACTTGCCATATCCACCAGAAACAAGCACTGCCTTTGTTTATTTGTTTTCTTTCTTTCCTTTTTTTTTCCTTTCTTTCTTTCTTTTCTTTGGGGCACCAAATCAGAAGACGAAGTGTAGTAATTTGCACCAGAAAACTTAAAGCTGCTTTTTTCTTGAGATCCTAATGTTTAATGTAATGTCTCTTTGGATACTGTACCAAATTGTTGATTGCATGTAGTTAATGTTGCATTAGAGCACTTTGCAATGGCATAACTCATCAATGTTTTGTGAGCTTGCATTTGTGAGTTCTTGAATGACCAGACTGAACT